CCTCTATGAACTCGTATGTCAGTAGCAGGTCCCTTATGGTTCGCCATTAGCTTGCTCTGCACACTTTGCTCTTGAGGCTCCGTTCATACAATTACGGTATATTCGGGGCCCAATTTCGGTCCTATTTGTTTGGCTGAGAACTGACACACCAAGTATTACGACCAGCATTATCTTTCGGAGAGAACTGACACGCCGGGTATTACGATCAGCATTGTATCCAAAGTCTTTACATAGCAAGATCTCTGGTACCCATTTATTTTGATTCTCACAGTGTCGAATATGGCAACTACTATCTGGAGACAGGGAAGCAAACACAAAAAAAAAAAAACTTTGAGAGGGCTGTAGCCGCCTGAGCCCTATCTTAATTTTCTAGGGTTTCTTAGTGCGTTAAACATTTGTTCAGTTGTGTAGTAGTAAAAGGAAACTACATCTAACTCCTTTTTGCGACCATTTAGGACATAATCATTAGGGCAAGAGAAGAAAAACAGCAGCAGAAGCAGTAGTAGCAGCAGTAATAATAATAATTAATGTTCTGAATGGTGAATACATAAAATAATATATGTTTTTTTTTGTTTGGTCCATCCCGAGTGATAAAGACCACTTTCATCCAAAGTAGTAATGATCAATGATTATAAGTATGCAGGTGGCTGATTAGTCCAATATAAGCCTGGAAAGTTCTTGAGCAGTGCAGACAACAGTGTGGGATTAGCAGTACGATTCTTTCTAGTTTGCCTTCGTTTCTTTGCCTTTGTAACCTTCGCTGCCTGGCATGCGATGCGCCATGCCTAAGGGACATACGCCATCTAAAACGGTCTTGTACAGCAGGCTCCTATGTTGCTGTGTTGATGCCAAAAGAATTGAGAGCAGTCTATGTGATATAATATGGGATATAATATGTGATATAATATGTGATATAATATGTGATATAATATGATTGGTAAAACTAGTTAGTTGCATATCCTTTACAGGAGGTTGCAAAACCAAACCCTGCATGTTTTAGTTGTTGTGGTTTTTCTTCAAAAATTTCTTTGGCTCCCAGGTCGACCCATCCTTGGGTGGATACCATGTGCAGTCCTGGGAAGTAAAGGCGGCTGGGGTGATGCTGACCACATCACCCACCAAGTGCCGATTGGTCTATTTAATTTAAGTCTAGCCCTTTATGCCCAAAACGACTAAAGGCGAGGAAAAGGGTCCTTTATTTTAACTTTTAAGGTGAAGGGCTCAAACCTCCAAAAAATTACCGGCTGGGTCTCACCTGACTTCTCTACAATTTGAGGAACGCATCATACGTTCACAGTTTACTACTGCCACGTACAATTATCGCGAGATGCGTCGATTATACCTCTCTCATTACTACCCCTGGGAAGCTTTGTGGTCTCAAGGCATGGTGTCCGCCTTGTGTGCTAGAAGTTCCGGGCTCAATCCCCGTTAAGGGCTGGGATTTTTTCACTTGGACTTGGACTTCTAGTAATCCCCCCCCCCCCCTGGTCTCTGGGTAGTGAGATCGGGCGCCCGTGTGCATTGTTGCGCACGTAAAAAAAAGGGCAGTTGGAAATCGAAAAGAGTAGCCTAACGGCGCTGCCCGGGCAAAATTTGGAGTTAAAAATCCACCCAAAGTATTTCAGGATCCTCGCTGGTGCTACAGAGCCGTTGTTCTGTGCTGAGCTTCTTGAGTTAGAAGAAGAACGGAGCACTTACGGGTTACTACCCGTGTGCCATGATGTTGATCCGTTTTTCAAACGAAACAAAATCAACCAATCACCCCTACCTCTTTGGGCTCTGATGCTACACCGCCATGTGGCTGAAAGAGTTAGGTCTTGAGGTCACCCCTCCCCCAGTTTCCGGCGCTCCTGGCGAGAGATATACAGTGCGGTGTTATTTTCCCGTTTTATTATACCTGTATCTGTCGTTACTTCCTAGTAAATGGCTGACAGAAGAGTCGTAATTCAAGAATTCGGAGAGGGGGTTAATTTTTTTGGATCCTAGGTATATGTTATTTTTCTCTGGCTAAACTGGCTAGTGTGAATTTTGGTAACTATATTGTTATCTGGAAGCTGGGATATTTTGGTCATATCAAGCGCCACGACGGATTGGAACAAATAATAGCAGAAGTCATGGTACCAGGTAGGAGGAGCAGGAGCCGACCAACACAAAGATGGGCACAGGATATAAGTGATTCCTTGAGTATGAAAGTATATGAGGCGGAAGAACTGGCGAGAGACCGAGTTTCTTTCAGGCAGACTGTGATGAGAGCGACGTTCTGCAAAGGACCTGCTACATGATGATGATGATAATGATAGTGTTATCATCATCATTGCCATCAGTTTTTGAGGAGAAAAAAAAATCGTCACTTTTAACCAGCATTCCCGAATGGGAAACTTTAGGTTGTAATTGTGGCTAAATTATGTGCGCTATAAAAAATGGCTACGCCACCAAGATCTCTGAAAACGATTCCTGCAGTGTTGACGCGATCAAAGGAAGAAGACCCAAATACTGTCCCGACCAGCGACTAGGTAAAAATATAAGTCTAGCCCTATATGCCCAAAACGACTAAAGGCGAGGAAAAGGGTCCCTTATTTTAACTTTTAAGGTGAAGGGCTCAAACCTCCTAAAAATTACCGGCGGGGTCTCACCTGACTTCTCTACAATTTGAGAAACGCATCATACGTTCACAGTTTACTACAGCAACGCACAATTATCGCGAGATGCGTCGATTATACCTCTCTCATTACTACCGCTGGGGAGCTGCGTGGTCTCAAGGCATAGTGTCCGCCTCGAGTGCTAGAGGTTCAGGGTTCCATCCCCGGTAAGGACTGGGATTTTTTCACGTGGACTTGAACTTCTAGTAATTCCCCCCTGGTAGTGAGATTTGACGCCTGTGTGCATTGTTGTGCACATAAAAAGGGCAGTTGGAAATCGAAAACAGTAACCTAACCGCGCTGCCTTGGCGAAATTGAGTTAGAAATCTACCCAAAGTATTTCAACACCATCGCCGGTGCTACAGAGCCTGTGCACAGTGCTGAGCTTCTTCGGACTCAAGCTTGAGTTAGAAGAAGAACGGAGCACTTACGGGTTACTACCCGTGTGCTCTGAATGGGGACATTTAGGTTATAATTGTGGCCAGGTTATGTGCGCCATATAAAATGGCTACGCCACAAAGAGTCATGAAAAGGACTCCTGCAGTGTGATGCGATCAAAGGAGGCAGACCCAAATACTATCCCGAACAGCGACTGAGTCGTCTATCGGCGAGCCAGTTGGCGACCCGGAGGCTGATGTAATACAATTCTATGTTAGAACGTGTTCACAAAATCAAATATTGAAACAGATAAGGTTGTTTATTTTTTATTCACACCAAACACGGGAATCCTTGAGTTAGCCGGGAAGTTCAATATTAGGGTTAGTTTCTATTTATTTCAAACCGTTAACTCCCTATAATAGTGGACTTTCCGCGGAACTCCGGGATTCTGTGTTTGGTAATAATGATACAACAGGATATTGAATGAACGAATCTTCCCTCTGTAACATACAACCATTATCATAATCATCGAGTGCCATAATACGCCACATAGCGCCCGCAGTTCAGTTAGTCATTCCGTTCTATCAGAAGCAATCTTCTTAATGCCAGACTTGCATCTTTGACCTCTCTCAGCAACATTCGTCTTAGGGTTTCTCCAGGATATCCAAGTTTGCTTAGTGCATATGTTTACAAGTTCAGCGCCTGTTTTATTGACCCTGACTCTCAGGTAAAACCCAGCCATAAGTGGGTACCGGATGTAGTCCAGGGAAATAATGGCGGGTGGCGTGATGCTGACCACATCACCCATTTTGTGCCGATTGATCTGTAAAAAATATAGGTCTAGCCCTATATGCCCTAAACGCCTAAAGGCGGGGAAAAGGGACCTTTACTTTTACTTTGCCTGTTTTGTGACTTTCTGTCTCCAGTATTTTATGATCTTCTTTGTTTTATAACTGTTGATACAAGCAGTTGTCCAGACATTTCTCTCATTCCATTTAATGCCCTTGTATTATGAGAGCATGTATCTTCCCTGTGGCAACATACGGATGTGAGTCGTGGACTATCTCCCAGTCCTTAAGAAGGGGAAAAGGTGCTTCTGAGCTGAAATTCAATAGAAAGATTCTCAGAATATCTTGGACAAAGGAGAGAAGAAATACGGACATCTTTAAAGATCTGAACATCAAGGAAGATTGGCTAATAAACAGCATCCTGTCTCCGAAGCTGAAATATGTTGGTCATATCAAGCACCACGACGGATTGGAAAAAATAATAACAGAAGGCCTAATATCAGTAAGGAGTTACAGGGGCCGACCAACACGAAGATGGGCACAGGATATAAGTGATTCCTTGAGTATAAAACTACATGAGCCTGGAGAGCTGGCGAGAGACCAAGTTTCTTTCAGGCAGACCGTGATGAGAGCGACGTTCTGCAAAGGGCATGTAACATGATGATGATGATGTATTTCGAAATGAGATTTCGTTCAAAAAAAAATTAACTGTTATCTAAGGTACAACACGTCAGCTTTTAATACAGACTTTAAACACAATAACGAAATCTGTCCCAAACGGGTTTCCAGTATGCTGTGGTGGGGGAGAAGATGGGAGGTAGCTTTGAGAACCTTTAACTCTTCGAGTCCCAGGGGGTTTAGCATCACAGGCCCAGTGGCTAGTAAAGAGAGTAATAAAATCGGCGCATCATGCGTTCATTGGGCTTCTAGGTAGGAACCTATGAACGTATGATGCGTTCCTTGGGACTCAAAGAGTTAAAAGAAAATCACGAATACGTTAATTTTGCCAACCCTGTCTGTCCTTTTCTTCAGCATCCCTATTGTCACGACGTACTCCAGCCCTCCCCCCCCCCTTTCCCCCTTTTCACAATGTCTCAAAACAATTTGGGTCGTCCCCTTCTGATTATGCGATTTCACACTATGAGTTAATTTATGTGAAGACATTTACATTAAGTCTGCTTTCATTCATCCTCAGACAAAAGCACTTAAAATGGTTGGCCAGGAGACCCAGGAGAATGGGGGTCTACATTTACCAGCATCCTTACCCCCAGAAGAAGCTCAAACTGCTAAGTCTAAGGTCATCGACTTCCTGAAACAAAACGGCCTGGTGTTGGCAACACTTCTGGGTATAGTCATTGGTGCTGGACTAGGATTCGGCCTACGGGACGCTAACTTGAACGACCATGAACTCATGTGGCTTGGTACGTTTTATTCCACATCTATAGTGTCGTCGTTACCTGTAAGTCTTCTGGAAAATTGTAGGTGTTGAGACAAGTTGACTTAGGAAGCAACTTTATAACACAGGGCACAATAACTTAAGCGCTGCACTCCCATCTTCAGCAGCCAGCGCAGAGTTCCATCTCCGATGGTATCAGTAGCTTTTTTGATTGGATGTCCTTCTTGCGTTTCTTCTATGTGTCGACCAGACACCCATAGTCACTCTTTCCTGCAACATTCTCTTCAGACCGTGATGGTAAGTTTGTGTTTCCACAATTTTTACTTGATCCCAAGGGGTCTTAACCAGATCTACTATGCTTTACATCAAGTTTAACAAGCAAGACCAGGCGGGGTGACGAGGAGAGGGGGTGGGGTGGGGTGGCAAGGTTGTGTCCAATACACTCATATATAGCAGTACTCGAGGCAGAGAGCTGGGGAAGGATATGATTACCAACATCACACTGCTATCTTATTCTATAAAAGAGAAAAGCCACGTGACTGTCTGTTTGTGTAAGTTTCTCTGTCACAAGAACTTCTCTCTCTCTCAACCGGTGACCAGCTGAGCGGTGAAATTTGCAGATGTCTTTTTGGCTGAATTTTCTAGGCCATCTAGGCAAAGTTTCTACGTATTTATAATAATTAACATCAATTACTAGAAGTTAACATTCACTAGAGTTATTTTTATCTGAGTACCTACACATTTTTTACGCCCCTTGAAAAATAAGTATGACAAAACTATAATTCACTGTTATCCCCCTTTCAGACTTGAAGTCTGGACAGTAGCTGTCGTTTTCTTTTAGCAGTGTGAGGGCGGCAGTTTCGTCAGCCAAATATGGAGCCCCGTGGGAGCAGTAGAAACCACAGGGCAAAAAAATAAACATAACGCAGCGGTGGAGACAAAGAAGACGAAGAAGAAGAAGAAGAGAAAAGTTCATTAACTATTCCTGGTGAAACTGGGGAAATAAATCAAGAAGAAACCTAAATAACATGGTAAAATTCGCCTGAGATATGAAAAGTCCTGCAGCTTTGATGGAGAGTTTGGTATAAGGTTTTTCTCGCTTCCCTATCACTAAGTTAATCTCTAAAGAGACTGCAGTGCACAGGTTTCCTCCAAACTCTGAGCTCAAGCTCAGAAACCAATGTAGTGCAAATTGTTAACATTTGTATATTAGGATGCAACTATTTCACGCGTTCGCGCGTATGCACTGAGGGTTTTTAAAGCTAGACTTAGCAATATGTCCCAGTATCATGAATATACATATTTCTATTATAACCGCCAGCTGTGCGCCCTTTAGTATTTATAACACAAAAATAATTTTGCCTATGCTTACTCCAGAGGCGTCGGAACCTGGGGGCTTAGACCTGCCACTCTCCAGAAAAATTGTATGTAAAAAAAGGGGGAGAGAGTGTAATGGAGGACCCCACTCCTACCCCCGCACCCTTCCACCCCTTCCCCCCAAATGTACGGTAGCTAAGCGGCCACTGAAAAGGTATATATATATATATATATATATATATATATATATATATATATATATATATAAGTACATTATTAATATTTGTTTGTTTGTTTTGTTTTGTTGAATAGATTGCATATTTTTTTTAAATCTGTTATTATATTCGTTTGCCAAATAGCCTAATATTATTGTTACTGTTATTATTATTTTTATTATATGCACTTAACGAAGATTAGGCCCTTACCCCCCCCCCCCCCTCACCCCCTCCCCATCCTTACGTTTTTAGACAATCTCTTAGGATTATTTGCATCATACAAGACTGTAACCTTTTTCCCCCCAGGTATGCCGGGAGAGTTGTATCTCAGAAGTTTGAAAGCGACGATTGTCCCTCTTGTTATCTGCATGGTCATAACCAGTAAGTATTTGTATGCTATCTCCTAGATGGACAGTCAGAGCACAGAGTCAACAGGCTCGCTTCACAAGCCCAGAGCTAATTTATTCGTTAGCAATAAAAAAAAAAAATATTAAAAAAAAAGTTTTATAGGGTAGGGGAGGCTGGGCACCAGATTGTCGGGACTCCTATTCTAACTCTACCTTATGTTCTTCTTCTTCTTCTTCCTCTCTTCCACCTTGTACCTCAGTGAAGTGTCGGAAAGGGGAGGGGTGGTTGGAGGGGGATGTAACCCCTGTATGTAAAGTAAGTAAAGGATTCCTTTCACGCCAGTGGCATATGATGCCAGACTCGCATTTTCAAGACCAATCATTACTCAATAGATCATGCGGTCGAAATTAAGACGGCCGCCTTTACTTCCCATGACTTTACCAGTTATCGATTTTATGCTAGGTCAAACTGGGTTATTAAAAAAAATAAATTCAAGCCATACGGCAAACGCAAATAAGACAAGAGACCAAGCAAGATAATGTATCCAAATGTATAAGAAAGCGCCGATGGAACTACATCTGTCATGTACTCAGAATGGATAAAACAAGACTTCCCCAGCAAGACTTCATATGGACACGGAAATGAAAATAAAAAGAAGAAGACCAAGAGAGACTCTGCGTAGAACCATTATCAGAGAAGGCTCATCAATGGGCCTAATAAACATCCAAGACCTAACACAGGTTGCAACGAACAACCAGACAAAGAGAGCAATGAACTCTGCCCTATGCGCCGCCCTATGCTCACGAGGAAAGACTAAGTAACTTAACTAATTTTTAACACACAAAATTATAGACATTCTTTGCAGCAAAGAGGCATCTTATCTCAACTTTTCTTTTTCTTCTAGGTGCAGCATCTCTTGATGCTAAGACAAATGGGAAAGTTGCTCTTGCAGCCATGGTGGGCTTTTTTCTCACGCATGTTGCTGCCGTCATCATTGCTATAGTATTGTCCCAAGTCTTTAAGCCAGGTGAGACTGTGTTGTGGCTGTCTGTCTGTCTGTCTGTCTGTCTGTCTGTCTGTCTGTCTGTCTGTCTGTCTGTCTGTCTGTCTGTCTGTCTGTCTGTCTGTCTGTCTGTCTGTCTGTCTGTCTGTCTGTCTGTCTGTCTGTCTGTCTGTCTGTCTGTCTGTCTGTCTGTCTGTCTGTCTGTCTGTCTGTCTGTCTGTCTCTTCTGGTCCCATCTCCACCAAATGAAGAATATTCCAGGCAATCTTTCTTTGACGATTGAGATGAGTTCCAGAGTTCTTTAGAGCTTTATAATTTCACTCCTGCTATACGGAAGTGGATCAGGGACATTTAGCCGACGGCTGCGTGGTCTCAAAGCATGGCGTGTGCCTCGAGTGTTGGAAATCCCGGGTTCAGGCCCCGATTAGGGCTGGGATTTTTTTCACGTGGACTTGGACTTCTAGTAATTCCCTCTGGTCTCTGGGTGGTGAGATCGTACGCCCGTGTGCATTGTTGCGTACGTAAAAAAATCCCTTGGCAGTTGGAAATCGAAAAGAGTATCCTAACATCGCTGCCGGGGCATTTGACACTAGAAATCTACTTAAAGTATTTCACGATCCTTGCTGGTGCTACAGAGCCTGCGCACTGTGCTAAGCTTCTTAGACTTGAGTTAGAATAAGAACGGAACATTTGTGGGTGACTACCCGTGTGCCATGACGTTGATCCTTTGTTCAAACTTTAAACTTCAAGCATATTATAGAGGTGATTCCTTCGAAGTCGGAGAGCATCTGTCTGAGAGATTAGGAACCAGCAACAATCTGTAAAACGGACGCACACGCAACATTCAGATCCTGGAGTAGATGAACGCAAACAGTTAAGCTTGTTTGGTTGTTTTTTTTTTTAAATCCAGAAACCATGAGTTGTTAACCCTCTGGCTCGGAACTATGGATATCGCAAGCCTTCGGTCTTGATTCCACGATAGGTACCGTAAATCTGGGAGAAAATATTGCCTTTCTGCCTACCCCCGGGAGTGAACCCGGACCACAAGGAGTTCGTCACCCGGTCACCGTGCAGTCCAGTTTAGCCAACTACGCTAGAGAGCCGGGCCAAACAGTTAAGCAGACGCTTACTTGTATGCGTCTTGGGGATGTCACAAACCAGTCATCATTTATTGGCAGTTGTGTTGTTGTTACTAGATAATTGTTCCTTCCATTATAGTTAACACATATATAGTTGCTGAAATGAAACACAACTGCAAGAAATGATGGTTATAATCGTAATGGAAAGTGAAAATAGGGGTCCTAATTTGAACAGCAGAAACATATCATGTTAATTCCAAAGACAACTGACCCACTGAAATGCAACATGAAAGTAAACGAGACAAGCCTAAAAAAATTTGATATGTTTAAGTACAGGGTACCCTGATAACATCAGATGGAAGATGTATTGAAGAAGTTAAATGTAAAATAGCTCAAGTAAAGGCAGCATTTTACAAAAATGAAGAATATTTTATGCAAACTTTCTTTGTCAATTGAGACTAGAAGGAAAATTCTTAAAAACTATATAAAACCTATTTCGATATTCGGAAGTGAATCATGGACAGTTGGTAAATTAGTGAAAACTTATTTGGAAACTTCGGAGACGTGGTTTAATAGACGAATGATGAGGATACCCTGGACAGATAAAAAGAGTAATGAAAATGTCTTGAAAGAAACTCACGAAGAGAACTGATTGCTCACATCAGAAAGAGACAATCTACATTCTTTGGTCATGTGATGAGAAGGAGAAAACTGAAGTACATCGTGATGGTAGGAAAGTTGGGGGTGGGGGGGGGGGGTGGAATGGGGGCAGAGGGAGACCGAGAGAAAAGATACAAGACAGTCTGACATCACGGCGTGGAGGATAATCTGTGTCAGAGCTGATTGAACGTATACGAGACAGAAGATTGCGGATAGATATGACTACCAAAGTCACACGGCATAGACTTTAGGAAGTAGAAGAACAGGCTATCTGTGGTAAAATGAATGAAACGAGTAACAATTACTTTGTTTACTCCCTCAGATCGGATAAATTCAAGTGGCGCTGGTGACACACCACAGACTGCCATAGAGACACAGGATGTATTTGCCGATTTGTTTAGGTAGGTTTCGTTGTTCGAGCAGTGTTCAATACCACATTTTTACCAATGCTATGCTGTCATTGTCAAACATGGATACTGTCTTCTGAAGGCAGACGGGAAATAGTCACTGCAGAAATGAATCATCATCACCACCACCATATCCACTATCACCCACATCACCATCATTTTCATCGTCATGGTCATCGTCATCATCATCGTCATCATCATCATCGTCATCATCATCGTCATCATCATCGGCATCATCATCGCCATCATCATCGTCATCATCATCGGCATCATCATTGTCATCATCATCGTCATCATCATCGGCATCGTTATCGTCATCATCATCACATCGTCAGCAGCAGCAGGTGCTAGACTCATGTCTTTATAGACCAGTCAGACCCGATCGGTGATGTAGTCACGATAATTGCGGTGTCTTTACCTTCCAGTCCATTCGCTGGTACCCATTTTAGGTTGGTTCTGCATAGAACCAAGTGAATATCTTTTAAACCCGCCTAGTGTTTGATGCTACAACACTATTACACCCACAGCCGCATTTAGATTTGATGAGGGCCTAAGCTATATGAAGTACTGAGACCCTACCATTTGAAATTACATCAGCTCAGAAAAGTTTAAAATATATAAAGTAAAGGACCTTTTCCCCGCCTTCATGCTTACTGGGCATATAGGGCTAGACCTATACTTTATAGACCAATAAGCATTAGGTGGATAATGTAGTCAATAACACACCGGTCGCCTTTGCTTCCCATGATTTTACCTGGTATCCTTTTATAGCTTGGTCCACTTGGCAGCCAAAGTCATTTTTGAAAGAAAGTCCGGCTCCCCAGAAACTGAACCCACCACCTTCGGATCCAGAGGCCGCTATTTCACGGAGGCCCTAATAAAATATATAAGCCTCTTAAATACATGTATAATGGGAATATAGTGTTTAAAGTGTTTAATTTTTAGTAAAAGAAGTGATAAAAAATGTTTTTACAAAACCACAGAAAATAATATAAGAACTTCACAGCGGGAACAGCATTAGTCTACAGATCCTCGATAGATAGGTCCTTCTTTCGACAACTGTTTCAAATTGTTTCGGTCTGTTATCATCCTAGAAAATCTCGGCACGATGGTGGGGTGGGAAAGGGGGGGGGGGGGGCGAGGGAGAGCGGGCCGACCTGAGCCATGACACCAGCTCTCGGACATCTCCCGCTGGGCTTGTCGGACATTCGGACAAGAAGAAATGATGGTTTTGATACAGGTAGTGAAGTTATGGTGTTATATATTGTCGCTGCAGTAGCAAGTTGAGCGCCTACCTACACGACCAGAGTGACATGTGGACGGCTGGTTCATCAAACAGACGCTTATCGGAAAGACGTTAGCAGTTGGTAGTAGCACGAGCTGATATCGGATAACTTTAGCTTTTAGGGATTTAAAAGTTCTTTTCCCACTAAAATAAAAAAAAATTACGCCGGCCGTCTTAACTTGCCCAGAACATATATCCTGGTACCCATTTTAGACTGGGCGACCTGCGACGTCAAATACCATGATAAAAATCCACGCAGCCAGCAGTGGGTTTTAATCTCGGTACGTTTGAGTTGCGAATCTGATGCGCAACGTCTGAGCCACGGACGCCGCTTTCCACTAAAAGGCTCTTTTAAAAGAAAAAGGCATTTGTGAAAGAAAAGAAATGAGAATTTGCTGAGGCCTCTGCAAACTGTGACGCCCTAAGCTGTAGCTTAATAATCTGATACATAAATCTAGCATTGGGTTTATATCTTAAAAATTAAACCAAAAAAAAAAAAAAAAAAAAGAATACAATATAACTTCATACTTATACGGCATGGCTATGACAATTTGATTTATTTGTATAATTTGAAATGAAGTTTACGGTGGTTTTCCTTTTCGCCAGGAACATCCTACCTGATAACATAGTTGCAGCAACTATTATGCAGGTCAGTTGATTACTTTCTTTAAACAAAAATATATTTTTTAGTTTTGAGCGAACATGTAATTACACTTACGTTTTTGTATTCGAGTGAGCATCAATTCAAACTCCTATGTTTCTCGTGTGTGGGCGAGTACCCACATAACTTTGCTCACTCTTGTGTGTGAGCGAGTACCTACATAACTCTGCTCACTCTTGTGTGTGAGCGAGTACCTACATAACTCTGCTCACTCTTGTGTGTGAGCTAGTACCCACATAACTCTGCTCACTCTTGTGTGTGAGCGTGTACCCACATAACTCTGCTCACTCTTGTGTGTGAGCGAGTACCCACATAACTCTGCTCACTCTTGTGTGTGAGCGAGTACCCACATAACTCTTCTCACTCTTGTGTGTGAGCGAGTACCCACATAACTCTGCTTACTCTTGTGTGTGAGCGAGTACCCACATAACTCTTCTCACTATTGTGTGTGAGTGAGTACCCACATAACTCTTCTCACTCTTGTGTGTGAGCGAGTACCCACATAACTCAGCTCACTCTTGTGTGTGAGCGAGTACCCACATAACTCAGCTCACTCTTGTGTGTGAGCGAGTACCCACATAACTCAGCTCACTCTTGTGTGTGAGCGAGTACCCACATAACTCAGCTCACTCTTGTGTGTGAGCGAGTACCCACATAACCTTGCTCACTCTTGTGTGTGAGCGAGTACCCACATAACTCTTCTCACTCTTGTGTGTGAGCGAGTACCCACATAACTCTTCTCACTCTTGTGTGTGAGCGAGTAACCACATAACTCAGCTCACTCTTGTGTGTGAGCGAGTACCCACATAACTCTTCTCACTCTTGTGTGTGAGCGAGTACCCACATAACTCAGCTCACTCTTGTGTGTGAGCGAGTACCCACATAACTCTTCTCACTCTTGTGTGTGAGCGAGTACCCACATAACTCAGCTCACTCTTGTGTGTGAGCGAGTACCCACATAACTCAGCTCACTCTTGTGTGTGAGCGAGTACCCACATAACTCTTCTCACTCTTGTGTGTGAGCGAGTACCCACATAACTCAGCTCACTCTTGTGTGTGAGCGAGTACCCACTTAACTCTGCTTACTCTTGTGTGTGAGCGAGTACCCACATAACTCTTCTCACTCTTGTGTGTGAGTGAGTACCCACATAACTCAGCTCACTCTTGTGTGTGAGCGAGTACCCACTTAACTCTGCTTACTCTTGTGTGTGAGCGAGTACCCACATAACTCAGCTCACTCTTGTGTGTGAGCGAGTACCCACTTAACTCAGCTCACTCTTGTGTGTGAGCGAGTACCCACATAACCTTGCTCACTCTTGTGTGTGAGCGAGTACCCACTTAACTCTGCTTACTCTTGTGTGTGAGCTAGTACCCACATAACTCTGCTCACTCTTGTGTGTGAGCGAGTACCTACGTAACTCTTCTCACTCTTGTGTGTGAGCGAGTACCCACATAATTTTGCTCACTCGTGTGTGAGCGAGTACCTACGTAAACTTTTAAGTTTCTTGTGTATATCTATATTAACCTTTTTCTTATGTGTAAGCGAGCGTACAGACAGTCACCTGTTTGTGTGAAGAAATGTCTACAGACTGAATACTTTCCTTCTTCTGCGTGAGCGAACGTGTGGGGGAAAAAAAAAACCGTCTTTCCCCCTCTGTGCATGGCAAACTCCTACTAAAACCCTTTTCTTCCTCCATAACTGGCAAGCTCTTTCTAAAAACCCGTTCTTTCACCGTGCATAGTAAACTCTTACTAAAAACCCGTTCTTTCTCTGTGCATGGCAAACTCTTACTAAAACCATGTTATTCCTCAATAAATGGCAAACTCTTTCTAAAAACCAGTTCTTTCACCATTTCAAATTATACAAATTATATCTCAGCAGTACAGTGCTCATATAATTGTGCAAAAAATCAGTTCAGAGGTTTAACAAGCAGCCATATTAGTAGTAGTAGTAGTAGCAGCAGCAGCAGCAGCAGCAGCAACAGCAGCAGTAATGGTGGTGGTGGTTGTGGTGGTGGTGGTTGTGGTGGTGGTGGTTGTTGTGGTGGTGGTGGTGGTAGTAGTAGTAGTAGTAGTAGTAGTAGTAGTAGTAGTAGTAGTAGTAGTAGTAGAAGAAAAAGAAGAAGAAGAAGAAGAAGAAGAAAAAGAAGAAAAAGAAGAAAAAGAAGAAAAAGAAGAGAAGGGTTATGTGACAACTAGGAAGCTATAAAAGTAAGTTGCTGGCTGGTTGCCTACCGGCCCGATGTCTTGAATTCGAATCTGCATCTGGTCAACTGTGACCAGAACTTCCATGTCGACTTAGCCCAATATAGGTACATAACTAATATAGACTTTTATCGAAATGTTTTTATTTGTACGTTTGGACATCTCCAGTAAAATTATCTGGTGCTTAAAGAATTAAATGCTTGCTCAGACAGTGACACAGTATGGTACGGAGACACAGACAGAAATAACCAACAGTTCAACAAATGCCACGACCACAGTGACAGTAACAACAAGGTCGGTTGGTACAACAAGTGGTATCAATATTTTAGGTGAGTCAAGTCGTTTTTAATTTTTATTTAATGTAAACATACACACACACTTTTTAATTCACAAACATATGTATGTATATGCATAATACATCATACGAATAAATGTGTGTGTGCGTGTACGTGCACATATATATATGTGTGTGTGTGTATACATATGTATGTACATTTATGTTGGTGCCGAAAGCGTATATATATATATATATATATATATATATATATATATATATATATATATATATATATATATATATATAAATGGGGGTGTGTGTGTAGCTATCTGTGTATCTGTCTGTGTGTGCATGTGTGTGTGTATTGGACTATCAGGTAAAGTCATGGGAAGTAAAGGCGACCGGCGTGATGTTTACCAACGAGTGCCGATTGCTGTATACATACATTCATACATACACACACACATATATATATATGTATACATACATACACACGCATATACATATATATATATATGTATATATATATATATATATATATATATATATATATATATATATATATATATATATATATATATATGCGCGTTCGTGTGTGTGTGTGTTTGTGTTTTCTTTCTCTGTACTGAAAACAAACCTATTATCTTGACATGAAAGGATGACAACGCACTGGCTGACACGCTCTTTTGGAGAGCAGAAATGTGAGGCAGCTTTGAGTACAAGGACAGCTTATCTGATTGACAACATAGTATGTGTCTCATGTGATTAAACTGTTTTCTCTAGGTGTTTCCTCGTCACTAGTGTTGACGTTACGTGTGTGAATTTTCGCTAGTGTTTATATAGTCTGGCACAGAAACCACACTGTTGTATGGGTATCATTATCATCATATCATCATCATCATCATCATCGAATACCTTGCCGACTGGCGTGGGCGATCATGCCTCGTCACAATCCGCCATCCTCAACTGCATGCATCGCTTCCTGTGCCGAAGCCCCTCCATATCATGATACAAGACTGTCAAAAATCTTAACGCGTGGTCTTTCTCTGTCCCTGATGTTTTCCACAGATCTTTCCAGTAGTAATGTTTGTTTGTTTGTTTTAGTATCCAGAAGCCATGAGTTGTTAACCCTTAGGCTCGGTATTATGGATATCACAACCTTGCTGCTTTGATTCCATTGTAAATACCGTAAATCTGGGAGAAAATGTGGCTTTCCTGCCTACCCCCGGGATTGAACCCGGACCACAAGGAGTTCGTCACCCGGTCTCCGCGCAATCCGGTTTAGCCAACTACGCTAGAGAGCCGGGCTTTCCAGTAGTAATAATAGATTCCAGTTTGCATCTTCTCATATCATGACCGTACCCACAATGTGTCTGACACAGTCGCTTCTAGTCGAGTCTCTTCTATTGTACATGTACATTCTTCAGGTCTGATCACCGTTTGCACGGCACTGGGAATTGCCGCTGGGAAGATATTGAGTGCAGACAGCGAGTTCTTGAGATTCTTCAGGCAGTCCCAGGATGTGGTGTTTATGGTTATCAGATGGCTGTTTTGGTGAGTTGTGATTCCTGGAGAAGTTATTGTTTGCTGTTGCAGCTTGTTTTCTCTAAGAGTTCAGTCGGCGGGATTAACACCTTAAGGTCAAGCTTGACCTATGACAAGCTAGATTTTGTGAGGGCCCTTTGGGAGCGAGTGAACAGATAGATAGCTCATTACGGCCTGAGAAGTTAGCAGGGGAGCTGGCCGACGCACAACACTCAAGGGATAGGCTAGACGGATATACAATCAGACAGTTACTCTTCGAACTACTGTTAAAAACGGCCACAAACTGCTCGGCAGTAATTAATGTGTTATTGGTTATGTATCACTAATATTAACTCCACAGGAAAGATTTAAAAGTGGGCGAAGAGGGAGTGGGGTGTGGGTGATGGGGGAAGTGGTGGTATGTTTTGTGACAGGAGGTAATCCTGATTTTGTGATTCATATTCAGCTGCAAATACGTGGCATGACCTGCTTTGCCAAATCAATTAAAAGACTTCCAAGACTCCATGACTTGGTTCAGGTTAACCAAAGTCTTGCCAGATTTCTTCGCCTACAGAGCTGAATCAATTAAATTCTTGCCATGCTTCTTGAAGTCGCTTGCATTCATTCTTTGCCATTCTGCCATATTTATTGTCTAATATGACCGATATAAGAAAGTATAGGTCAGTATTTATAAGACTGATATGAAGTAAATGTTGTCCTGTAAGTAAAGTAAAGGACAAATTTCCACGCCTTTAGGCGTATTGGGCATATAGGGCTAGACCAATATTTTATATACCAATCAGCACTTGGTCGGTGACGTTAAAAACATCACGCCGGTCGGCTTTACTTCCCAGGACTGCACCTAGTACTCACTTAAGGTTGGGTCGATCTGGGAGCCAAGGTCATTTTTGAAAAAAGCCCTTTCCGTTAGGACCCGAACCCAGACCTTCCGATCCGACGGCGAGCGTCTAGCCGCTAGACCATAGCGACTCCCTGACATATCTGATAGACAAAAATGCAATATGTCAAAGAACTAGCCAGCTGACTTACTGTACTAAACATTTCACCCCTCCTCTTTTTTTTCCACAACAACCTATAGGTTGACCCCTTTCTACAGCTCATAAGTCATGGCTCATCGACTCTGGGGCCACAAGTTTAAAATTGACGTTCGTCACGGGCAAGAAGGCCCACTCAAAACATAAAAAGGTCATTAATACTAAAAGAATAACAATGACCAGCGTACCAGTTGCTACGCCTCCACGGACCTGATTTAGCCCGCGGGCCGGCAGTCGAATAGTTCTGTACTGTCTTCTGAAAC